CGATGGACGGCTCAACCATTGCTTGGCTAACCCGGTCGCTTTCGGCGCTTGTCCCCTCCCCCCCCCCCTCCCCCCTTCCCTCGGATCAAGGCTGTCCTCTCTGGGTCGGCAGCATCCTGCCCCGGTGTTCCAGTCCACTCCCGCGGCATTGGGGACCGGCGGCGGACCTGCCGGCCGCCTGCACATGGCCGGCCTGCAGCATCAACAGCAGCCGCCGCACCAGCGGCAACAAGGCCCCCGGGCGTTGCCGTCCCCCGGCCCGGCTGCCCCGGCCCTCAAGCAAATCCTCCTGCCGGGGCACCTGGCCCGGCGTGGGCTTCGCTCCTTGTCGTCCTTCCCACCGGCCACGGTGCCCCCCTCCGTGGGGGCCCAGTCCCCGGCTGGTGGCCTCCTGGCTCGCTGGTGCCGGCGTCAGCACGCGGCGCTGCTCAGCTCGGGCCGGTCGCGCATCTCGGTGCTCCCGCGATCCGGGGTCCTGGCTCCGATGGGGCCGGTGGCCGGGCTCCGGACCCCGGCCGCCGGGCTGGCCCATGCTCTCCGGCAGGTTGGCCTGCCGCCTGGCGGCTCCGGCGAGGCGCTTGCACAGCACCCGGTGCGGAGCTACAGCTCCGACGTGAGTGACATCCGCCGGCAAATGCGCGCCCTCCTCCAGGACCCGGCGCTGGCCCCGGAGGCGACGCATGGTGACATGCTGACGGCCGTGACGCCGACCGCGCCAGCTACCGGCGGCGGCGGCGGCGGCGGCGGCGGCGGCGGCGGCACGCCCCGTTCCCCCACTCCCCCTGCCTCGAGATCACGCATCTCCAGCGCCCTCTGGGAGGGCCCGTCCTTCCGGACTCTCGCCGGCCCGGGCGCCCCGGAGCTCGGCCAGAAGAATGCGGCCGGCGGCAGAGATCGCCCCGGCCCCAACATGCAGGCGGCCCGGGCGCGGCAGCTCGACCGAGCCCGGCTCTTTCAGCATGAGCTCCCGCATGCGCGGCTGCAGCGTGATCGGCAGACACTGCGGCGCGCTACCTTCTCCTCGGCGGATGCCGGGCAATTCCGCTTTGTCCTGGGCCCAGAGCGACGTCGGGCGTGTCCGGTTCCCCGGCGGCCGATCCCCCCCCCGGCGGCCGTGTGGCCGGTGCCGATGGGGGACATCGCGGCGGCGGCCGCCGCCCGTGGCCTGGCCAAACGCTATCAGGCCACTTGGCAGCAGGTAACCACTTCCCCCTCGGAGCAGGCCCCGGCGTCGCATCCGGATCTGGCCACCCTGGCGGTCTTGTCGCTGCCCAGCCAGCCGGCTATCGGGCTGGGGATCCCGGTCGAGCCGCTGCCCTCGGCGCCCGGCCGCTCCGGCAAGGGCCTTCACCGGGCCATCAACAGCTGTCGGACGGCCGAGGAGTTCCGCCAGCTGGCGGCCAGTTGGCTGGCGCGCAATCACTCCGAGAGCTGGCCCTTCCCGCCGGCTCGTCACGCGAGCCTGACCAATGCCATCTACATGGCCTTTGCCTTTGACCAGTCGCCCGAAAACATGGCCCGGTTTGCTTCCGCCAATCGGGAGGACGCCCCCCCGGGCATGGCGGCCACGCCGCCCTCTGCCAAGGAGCCAGGCGACCTCTTCACCGGGGACATGGCCTTGGTGCTGGAGCTTGCCCGGCGGGGGGTGCACTTTGCGCAAGGCCGGGCGGCCCATCCCGCGGCGGCCGCCGCTCGGGTTCTCCTGCTGCGTGGGGAAACGGCACGGGTGCGCCAGCTTCTGCGCCTGGCCCGACAGAAGGCCCTTGCTCCCGGGGGATCGGGACAGGCGGCGGTTGCCGTGCTCGGGGTCCTGGCGGCGCGGGCCACCCTCGGGCCGGCTGCCTTCTTCGATGATCTCAACATTTTGGACGTCACGGCCACCGGCCGGTCGGCCGACATGGCCGATCCGGAGCGCCTGATCCATGTGCCGGAATCCCTGGTCCGGCACCTGCCGATGGCCGTGCGCCGGGGCGTCCGGCTGATCAACGTCCTGGCCGGCGATTGTCAACAGCTCTTTGATACGGGCCATGCGATGGCCGCCGGCCAGGACACCCCGGACGCCAAATTGCCGGAGGACTGCGAGATGGCGGTCGCCACATTGGCCGACGGCCTGGCCGGGCTGCTGCGCCTGTCGGCCGCCGGGTCCATGGGTCTCTCGCGCGGCCCGGCCGGCGTCCGGTCCTCGGAGCTGGTGCTTCAGTTTGGACACTGGTTGACGGATGCCCTCTTTGCCCTGGCCGCCGAGGCCAAGCCCGGATCGCTGCAGGGCCTGGCCGCCGCGCGGGCCATCAACTCCTCGGTGGGTGTGGTGGCCATGGCGCAATTGCTGGTTGCCAGCCAGGGGTGCGTTCATGTTGGTGCACTTGGCCGTGTGCCCATCTTCCCGTGGCTTCTGCCCCTCTTCGGGCGGCGGTGCCCCCTATGGCCGGCATCTTCCCCCCTCTTTCCCGGCGTCCTTCCTTCCTCGGCTAACACCTGCTCTGCTCGGTCTCTCCCTGCCCTGTGACATCGCCATGTAGCCCGTATGTCAAATTCAGTGTCCTCGCCGAGCGGCTGCCCGATCATCAGGGCCCTCTGCTGGCCGGGTACATCCGGGCGCTGACCGAGCACTTCGGTGCCATGTCCCAGGAGGATGGGCTCTTCTTTGGACACATGTACGAGGCGCAGCTTGCCCTGGATGAGGCATGGTCCGTGGCCAGTGACCGCGGGCTCCTGGTCCCCGATGCCTATGGGACGAGCTTTCTCCTTCTGTCCAAGCTCGCCGGGTCGCCGCGGCACCATCTGCACATGCGCTTGTTGGAAACCGGCACCGGTATCTTTGACCTGTGCGTGCCCTGCCTCCTGTGCTTCCTCTCGGCTCCTCGCCTCTTTGTGTTTCCCCGCCTCCTTCTTTTTCTTTCTCTCTTTCTCCCTTTCTCCCTGCCCCCCTCTCTCTCTCTGCTCCTTGCCCGTTGCCTTTCCTCCACTGCTCGACGTATTGCCCCACCTCTCCCTTCCCTGCCCCATACTAACCTCCGCATCTTGATCCCTCTCCTTCGGATCGCGTCTCTCTCTCTCCCTCTCTCTCTTTCCCCTCCACGACCAGGCTCCTGGACGACCTCGAGGCCGGTCTCTTGACCCCGGCCGAGGCGAACGCGGCTCTCAGTCACTTCGGGCACTTTCTGTCCAGCATGCAACTCTTCCGGTCGGCCGAGCACCTGTTCTCCCTGGCCTTCGGCCCGGAGCGTGGGTCTGATGTGGACCGGCACCTGCGCGCCCTGTCGCCCCACTTGCGGCAGATCAATCCGCCGAGCCGCTCGGGGCCCGACGACCCGAAGGTGCCGGCCCTCCCGCTGGCCGAGTTGCGCTCCCTCCGCCAGCAGCTGGCCAATGAGTATAACCACAATGTGTACATGGTCCCCGGGGCCCCGGCCCCGGAGCTGCCCCTGGCCCGGCCGGAGGAGCTCCAGGGCATTGTCCCCCGCCGCCTGCAGTGTGTCCCCCCGTCCGGGGCCGTGTCCTCGCAGTGGCACCAAAATGCCGGCGGCTGCTGGTCGGACAGTTTGGTGGCCACCTCGGGCGGCGGTGCGACCGATGCCCCGGAGGCAGCCGGTGTGCCGGATAATGCCTGGTCTCGGCGCCGGCAGGAATTGACCCCGATGACCGCGGCGGGGGCCTCTCTGCCGATCCCGGCCTGGTCGATGGCTCTGCCGGCCGAGGCCGGCCTCTCGGGCCACTGTGCATGGATCCTGGCCGCGGCGTCGCACATGCCGGCCCCATCCTGGAGCACGGACATCCTGTTGGTGGAAACCCTCCGGTCGGCGGCGGCCACGCGCCTGGTCCTGGCACGGCTGAACCACGCGATGGAGCTCTTCTGCCAGCCGGATCATCCGGCTGACATCGCGGCCATCGATGATCCGACTGGCGGCGGCTTGGCAGCCGGGGCCCTGCTGGATCGGGGCACCGCTGCCGACCTGCTGCCTCTATACGAAGCAGCCACTACGGCCCTTGCGGCCATCGAACAGCGAACCACCAGCTTCATCTCCACCAAGCTGGGCCGGGCGTCCACCCTATATCCCCACGCGCGCAATGCCCTCACCTTCGACAAGGCCCCGCTCGAGGTTTTCCTCGGCCGGGATTACCGGATCTCCATTCATCAGCACATTGCCGCTCGCGCGGCGTCCCTGACCTCGGTGCGCCCCTTTCGCCGCACAGACCGGCGCTTCTTCCCTTTCCTTTTGCCTCCCTCTCTCTGCCCTTCTTTCCTTCCGGACTACCGGGCGAGATATTCCCCCCCCCCCTCCCTCCCCCGCCCCCTCCTCTGCCATCCTGCCCCCAGTGCTGACACCCTGCTCGACACATGGGCCGGGCTCGGGCGCATGCAGTCCTTCGACTTCCGCTCGCGCGATGCGGTGGCCGCCAATCTGGCGGCTCTGACCCCCGGCTCGTCGGGGCCCGCCTTCCGGGACTCCCCACTCACGGCGGCCGAATTCCTGTCACGCTTCGTGGTCAATGACCTGGAGGAGGCCCCGCCCTACATGCCGCTGTACCTCAAGTGGCACCCCTTCAGCGAGGAGCTGGGCACCCCGCCGGAGCCAGCCTTCCTCCCGGCCCCGGTGACCAATCCCTACCTGGCACACTTTGAGCAGCCACTCATGCATGAGCTTCGCCAGCTTGTGGCCATGTCTGACAGCTCGCCGGCCGCCAGCACGGTGCCGGCTGTGGCGCCCAGCCGGCCGCACTGGTCGGCTCCGGCCGCACAACTGCTGTCCGGGGACTTGCTGGTCACCCGGGACCTGGGTGTCCGGGGGGACCAGCTCCATGCGGATCTCATCCAATTCGCCGGTCTGGACCACCTGCCGCCTCTGGAGCGTGTCAGGCGCGAGGCCCTCTTCCGACCGATGGTCGATGGTGCGCTGATGACTCGGATGGGTCCGTCAGACGCTCTTGGCGGCCAGGCCGCTTGGCAGGAGCGCTTCGGGTTCCACATGAACTTCCGCTCGGTCGGCCGGCGGCTGGATGACATCCTGTCCTTCGAGGACCCGGAAGATGCGCAGTTCATCACCAGTGGCAACCCGACCCTTGGAGGCTTGAACATCAGCGGCACCAAGCGGCAGATCGGCCGGCTGGCCATCGAAGAGGCGAGCCGAAGCTCGCGCGAAGTCCGGAGACCAGGCGCCGGCCATGCCTCTCCGGACATGGGGTTCCTACATGTGGCCCGGCGTGTGACTCCTCCCTTGCCAGTCCTCCGGAGTTTGGCCAACCTCCATGGCCAGGCGGGCAATGTCGATGAGAGTGCGTGCCTTTTTGCGGCTGTGGCCCTCTGGTGTTTTCCTTCTTTCCTTTTCCACCCCCCCCCCTCCCCCTTTTGCTCTTCTAACGGGTTCTTTCACCACTGGCATCTCCGCGGCCACCTCCTTGCCCTGTCCCTGACCACATGTGTGACATACACACACACACACACACACACACAGTGTTTGCCCTGTTTGGACACTTCTTCGCCGACTACCTGGACACCAGCCAGGTAGCCGTGCACCGGCGGCGAACGTTGCAGCATCTTCAGAAGAGCGCCCTGCTGGCGCTGATGCAGTCGTCGGCGCGCGCACGCTATGCGCACTTCTCCCGCTCGGCGGGCATGGCCCTGACCGGGAGTCCGATGAGTGTCCCTCTGCCGGCCAAGGCCATGTTGCCTGGCGGAATGGACCCCCCCATGTCGCAGGGTGCTGCCTCCTCCAGCGGGACTTCCTCGTTGGAGGATCTGGTCGACACGGCCATCGGGGCTTACTCCATGGCACGGATGTCCACCCGACCGGTGCATGTTCCCGGGCATCCGGGTGATCAATTTGATTGGCAACAGCGGCAGCTCCAGCAGCCGCACGCATGGAACCACCCCATGCAGCCGGGCCAGGAAGCCGCCAGCATCAGCCGGCCCCCGGTATCACCCTTCGCCGATCAGGACTTGCCCACTGGCAGTTCGCGCTGGCTACAGGCAGCCAACCAACTAGTTCCACTCCGGTGTCGGTTCTTGCAGCGCGAGCACTTCCTCCTGTCGCTGGCCCGGCGCATGGACCGGGTCCGACGGCCGTTGGATGTCCAATGGTCGGCGGACCTCCTGTCCCCGCCGGAATTGGATGACCATCTGTTTGGCACGGACCCCCATGACCAGGTGCAGATCCCGGGCTTCGAGCGTTTCCAGCCGCCGGTTGCCATGCCGGCCGACCTGGCCGCCGGGAAGTCCGCCCGGGCTCGGCACCTGTATGGGCTGCTGTGGTATTTGCACACCCTGTCGGAGCAATGCCAGCCCGACATGTCGGTTCTCCTGGGCGAGCGTTTCCCCCTGCGGCCCGGAAGAGCCACCTTGGCCAGCCTGGTGCTGGCTCTCGGGCCCACGGTGCTGGACCAGGTCCCGGAGGCCTCGGCCTTCGGAGGCAGCAGTACCAGCGCCTATCGGCCGCACCTGCTGGGCCTGGTCCAGGGGCTGGTCAGGCCCCCGGTGGATACCGGGCTGCTGCACACCGCCCTGCAGGTGGCCACCGAGTCCGGCGACCAGGAAATGCAAGCCGAGTTGAGCCGCTGTGTGGGGGCTCTGGCCCGGTATGCCGAAGTGTATGCTGACATTTTTGCCGCCTTCGATCCAAAGGATCCCTGCTGGCGTGCCGCCTCGCTGGCCTTCGCCGAAGCGCACCGGATCTTCCGGCTGGAGTTGCTCCAGCAGCAGCCAGCCACCGAGGTCTCATCCATTCTTTGAAGGCCTGTCCCCCTCCCTCCCTCCCTCCTCTCCCCCTTCCCCTCCTTCCGCCATCCCTCTTCCTCCTCTTGCTTGATGGGAAGGCCACCCCCATGTGCGTTTTGCCCGCACCCTGAACCAGACACAATAGACCAGTGTGTGCTGGCACGCCCGTGCCCCTCTCCCCTTCTTTCACCCCGTTGTTTCCCTGCTTTCTTTTCGTGCATGTGTGTGTGCCTGTGCGCATGTGTGTGTGTGTGTGTGGTTACGAAAGTTCTGGGGGGTTTAATTAGCCTTTTTCTTCTTTATCGAGCTCACACGCCACCTCGGCGGATTCATGTCGCCGCCGACGAAGGGCAGGGAGGGGAATGGAAACTCTATGCCCTTTCATTTGGGGAGAGGAAGGGAAAGAGGGAGGGAGAGGGGGAGGGAGGCAAAGTCCGGGGCGAAGGGGCATGGCTCTTTTTGGCTGAGGCGAAAACCCGGACAACCACGGCACCGGGAAGACTTCCCCCATGTGTGGTTGGGCGGCCCTTAGCCCATCTTGTACTGAACGAAGGCCACCAGATTCTCGTAACATTCAAGGAACCGCTCGGTCTCCATGTCGCTGAGGTTGCGCAGGAGCGCCGGCTTGGGGGACACCTTGCCGGCGAGTTTCTGAAGCTCGGCCAGAACGCCGAGGCCGGTGAAGACATCATCATGCGTCGGCTCGGCGAAGAGGTCGATCACCGCATTGATGGCCTCGGCCAGAACAACCAGGTCCCGGTCGGGCGACTCCTCGCGTGGCAGGCGCGCCAGCACGTCCCCAAGGAACTTGGCAACATTCTAGTGGGAGCAGGGAGAAATGCACGCAAGGGGGAGGGAGGGGGGGGGAGAGAGAGAGAGAGAGAGGACGCAAGCGGTCAGATGAGACAAGGGGAGACACGAAGGAGAAGACCTGCCGCAAGGGAGAGGAAGGACGGAGGGGGGGGGGGGGGAGGGGGGCGAGGGAAAGGGGGCGAGGGTGCCACGTACCGCCACGGCATTCTTGTCGGTGCGCACACAGCGAGCCAGCAGGCCGATGACATTCAGGCCCAGGCAACTGAGGGCCTCATGCTGCGGAGTCCCGGAGAACGAGGCCACCAGCTCGCAAAGCAGGGCCAGATCGCTGGCCGGCGGGTCGGCCACCAGGACCGCCAGGTCGCCGGTGGCTTCCAGCCGCCGAAGAACCGCGGACAAGCCAACCAACGCCGCCTCCAGCAGCTCATTGCTGTGGCGCAGGTCGTCGCCCGGCCCGGCGGCCGCAACCCCCGAGGCCGCACCGCGCAGGAGCTGCAGCAGCCCGGCAACACGGTCCTCCACGCCACCCGGGGCCAGCACCGCCAGAGAAAGGCCGCTCTCGACCAGAGCGCCAAATGCCTGCAGGGCGCGCTCCTGCCGCAGGAAGAGCAGGCTCATGACAACCCCGGCGGCGGCATTGCGCGCATCGATCTCCTGCTCGGCAGCCGGCTCGGTGGCGTCGGCCGACTGCTCACTGACAACCGGGGCGGCCTCCAGCTCGCGCGCCCAGTCCACCGTCCGCTGGATGGCAACAACCAGGTCCTCGGCCGGCGGGGCGCACAGGCCCAGCAAAGCCGCCAGCAGGGGCGACCCCTCGAGCAGCAGGGCCAGCTCGTGCGGGCTCCCGGCCGGGGGGACCCGGCGGCCAGCACCCTCGGCCGGAGCCTCCACCTGCCCGACCATGCATGCGGAGCTGAGGATCTCCAGAGCCAGCTTCTGGGCGGCCAGGATGGGCCGGCTCGGGCCGAAGGAGGTGGGATCCGCCCGACCGTCAGCCGGGCGGATCTCCAGCGGCACCGGCACGGCCAGCAGCTGCAGGAGCGTCGTCACGGCTCCGGACCCGGCACTCGGCCCGAGGGGAGGATTGGCCGACGGGCCGGCGCTCTGGAGGATCTGCAGCACACCGCCACACACAACCGCCTGCGTCAGGTGCCCGATGCCCGGGGTGACACGCGCGCGCCAAATGGCATGCTGCTCGGACGCCGGGTCCAGCAGTGCCAGCAGCGACGCCCCGAAGGGCTGGTTGGCGGCCACCTTGGCTGCCAGCGCGGGGTTGTCCTCCGACAGGACGAGCAGGAGCTGCGCCCCGGCCAGGACCACGGCCGGGCTGTAGGATGCCGACGCGGCGAACACCCGGTGCACGGCATTCAGGAAGGCATTGTCTTGGGTGAGGTGCTCCACGACGGTGGGGGAGACCTCACTGAAGGGGGAAAGGGGGAGTGGAAGGGGGGGGG